ATTTATTGCCATCACCTGTTCCAGCAGAGGGCGTAGTGCTTCATTTAATATCCTTTGAGGTGTGGTGACCAGAACTGTACACAGTACTCCAAATGAGGTTGCACCACTGATTTATACAGCTTAGAAGGAACACTGATCATCCCCTTGAATCTGATCCGGTACTCAACCAGCAACCAATGCAGTTGGCGCAACACTGACTGAATGTGCATCCGCACAGACATCCCAGTCAGCAGGCGTGTCGCTGCATTTTGTACCAGCTGAAGCTTCTGGGTCAGACTCAAGGGAAGGCCCGCATAGAGCGAGTTGTATTAATCTAACCTGGAAGTGACCATTGCAAGGATCACTGTTGCCAAGTCATGGGAGGAGAGATAGGGAACCAGTTGCCTGACCAGCTGAAGATAGTAAAAGGCTGACCTGGCAACACTGGTGACCTGGGCCTCCATAGTAAGGGAGGCATCCAGAGTCACCACTAAACTCCTCACTGTTGCGGCTGGTGTCAATAGCACCCCGCCAAGGGCTGGTCGTCGGATTCCCAATCCTATCCTCCCACGACTCAGATACAGGACCTCCATCTTCACTGGATTCAATTTCAGCCTGCTCTGTTGCAGCCAACCAGCCAGTCTCCAAAACCCTGGTCAAATTATCTGGGGGAGAGTCAGGCCAGCTGTCCATCAGCAGATATAGCTGGGTGTCATCAGTGTACTGATGACAACCCAGCCCAAATCCCTGGATTAACTGGGCAAAGAGGCACATGTTAAATAACACTGGGGAGAGGATCGCCCCTTGCGTGATGCCACATACCAAAGAGTAATGCGGAGATACACTCTCCCCAAGTGCCACCATCTGTCCCTGGCAATGGAGAAAGGAGAATAGCCACTGCAAGGCAGTCCCCTGTATCCCCAACGTTAGCAAAGCGCTGGGTCAAAAGATCATAATTGACCGTGTTGAACACTGCCATTAGATCAAGTAACAATAGCAGCATCAACCCACCTCAATCCAGATGCCTCCAGAGATCACCCATGAGGGCAACCAGTGCTGTCTTCATCCCATGGCCAGGGTAGAAGCCAGACTGGAAAGGGTCCAAAATGGAGGAGTCACTCAGAAATCCCTGGATCTGCTCAGCTACCACCCTCTCAACCATCTTGCCCAGGAATGGAAGGTTTGATACTGGGCAGTGGTTGGCTAGGACTGCAAGGTCCTGAGATGGCTTTTTCAAAAGTGGTCTTACCTCTTTCAGACACCCTGGAAACGTCTCTGATATTAGGGACAAGTTGATAACTTCCCCCAGGGGAGTCCAGATTTCGTCTCCACAGGCTTTAACAAGCCAGGACAGACACAGATCCAGGAGGCACATGGTGGGCTTCATAGTTGCCAGGGTTCTGTCAACCTCCTCCTGGGAGAGTCTGCTGAATCAGTCCAACACTGGACAAAAAGGCTGCCAAGGGGCTTCCAGTTCACATACTGTGTCAACTGTGGCTGGCAGGTCATGATGGAGCAACAAGACTTTGCAAAATAGCTCATAAATGCCTGTGTCTGACTTCTCCACATGAGATGCTGGCACACCAGAAAGAAAGCTCCAAAGCATACTACGCACAAGCTGTTTTCATTGGGTAAGAAGTCAAACATGGAACTCTCAAACCTCATCAATCTGTGGCAGCAGGTTTGTAATTCCTTTTCTTAAACGTTTCAGTTTGATCTTGGGTCAGGTCCTGCAATGGTTTAATCCAGAGATGTCGAACTCATTTGTTACAAGGGCCAGATCTGACATAAATGTCACTTTGTCGGGCTGGGCCATGTGTGCCATAAAATGTAACACATGGTACCAGAGATATAAACTTTATAAAGATTGGACTGGGTGTGATATGCAGAGGGGTAGTAGGTGTGGAGATATCAGCACTGGTAATGAGACAGTAGGATGCAAAGAATAAATGGTAATAAGTCTGAAGAGGTGAGCAGTGACTCATAAAAGCACATACCCTACCACAATTTTGTTTACTCTTTAAAGGTGCTACCGGACTCTTACTTTTTCTACTGCTATTAGAAACCACAACATTCAAAAACCAATGGGGGAACATATTAACCTTCCAAGGCATTCAGTTGCTGACCTAAGAGTTCTCTTACAAAGGAATTTCAAAGGAAGATTAGAGAAGAGACTGCTGAATTGCAACTGATCATGAAGCTCAAGACAATGCAAACTCCTGGACTGAATTGCGACCTAGTTGTTTCTCTCATTACCAATGCCTGCTATTGTCATTTGGCATCTGAAATCACTTCACTCTCCAAGATATAAGAAAAGATGGACTCCCATTCTAGATGTATCTGAAGAAGTGAGCAGTGACTCATGAAAGCTCCTACCCTGAAAGAAATTTTGTTAGTCTTTAAGGTGCTGCTGGACTGTTGCTCTCTTTCACTAATAACGAATGTAAGCTGTACTGTTAGGTCCCCCCCCCCGATCTCTTAGAAATGGAAAGGGTGACCCATCTTTCTCTCTCTAGCTTTCCCCTCCCCCCCTTTGAAGAAGTCTGCAAGCAAACAAAAACTTATAGCTGGAATAAAATGTTGCTGGGACTCTCTCTCTCTTAGGGCTGCCAAATGCAGCCGGGGGGCGGGGATTCCCCCGCTTCGGAGCCCTGATTTCCGGCGCGCCAGAATCGGGGCCCGGGGAAAACCCCACCCCCGCGTGCGCGTCACCCGGAAGTGACGTCGCACGCTGGGGGCGGGGCCGCGCCGTTTGAGGGGAAAACAAAGAGTTTTCCCCTCAAATGGCAGCTATTTGAGGGGAAAACTCTTTGTTTCCCCCTCAAACGGCGTGGCCCCGCCCAGCGTGTGACGTCACTTCTGGTGACGTCCTGGCGGCGCGCGCGCGCATCCACGAGCGTCTCCCGGAGCGGACAGAAGATCCCCCGAC